CCCACCCTGGGCTGGCTGCCAGCTTCAACCTGCTGCCCCTCACCCACCTGTCTGGGCACCTTCCCTGCGCAATCAACAGCGGCAGCAGAGTCCCTCAGGGCCAGCGTGGCATTTCCGGCGTTCCTGAGGTTTTGGGCATCCCCTTTCCTTGGGGGGGCCCTAGAGAGGGAAGGCCAGGCAGCCTTGCCTAAAGCTGCGCCCACTGGATTTGCCTCGTCTCTCCCGGAAGCCAGGGCCGTTAACTGCGTGTTCCTTCCCCAGCTCGTGCCCCCAGCGCTCCCCCCAGAAACTGGGTCTCCAGCCGGCAGCTGGGACCCTTAACCAGGAAGTGAAACTGACTAGAAGGTCAGCGGCAACTGATGAGAAATTGTTGTGTTGATTTTTTTGCCTGCCTCGATTCTTGGGGTGCCTCAACGGAGCCTGGTTTTCGGGGGCGCCCCAGATCTCTAGGCATGGGGCAGGGGCGGAGGTTTGATACTTGTCTGGCTGTGGTGGGTGCTCGGGGGCCACCAGCCTTGTCATAACCGAGACAAAGGGGCCTCCTGACCTGCCAGTGGAAGGAGCCCCGTGGCACCTCGGCTTGTCGCCTTCCCTTGGGCATGAAGCTGTGGGGAGCCCCTGCTCGGGTTAACCTCGTCCCCTCTCTGCCCCCCGCAGACCATCAAGTGCTTGCTGATCCACCCCAACCCCGAGTCGGCCCTGAACGAGGAAGCGGGGCGCCTCCTGCTGGAGAACTACGAAGAGTACGCCGCCCGGGCCCGCCTGCTGACGGAGATCCACGCCCAGCCCTCCAGCCTGCGGGGGGCCAGCAAGGACCCCGCCGACCCCTGCTCCTCCGCTGCCGCCCTGGCCGCCGGGGGCGAGGGCCCCATGGCCAAGAAACACGCCGGCGACAGGGACAAGAAACAGCTGGCGAAGAAGAAGACGGACAAAAAGCGGGCGCTGCGGCGGCTCTAGGGGTGCACGGGGCCTGGCTCGAACCATGGACTTGGGGGGGGAGTGGGGGGGTCCAGGCAGGGTTCTAATAAAACTGTCCCTTTTCCCAGCTTTTTGTTAAGACGCTTTGGTATTTTACCCTTTTTTCAATCTTAAGTTATTTAAGTTATAAAAAAATCTATTAAAGGACTTTTTTTCTACCGCAGGGTTAATTTATTCCTTTGTCACTGGGGCATCCTTGATCCTCAGCCCCACCCCCAGACACCCCTCTTTTGGAAGGGGGTTAGCAGTGCCTGGGTTGAGATCTGTGTTACAGGGACGTGCCAGAGGATGTGTGAATCCAGCCACCAGGGGCAGAACTGCCCTATATGTACAGAGAAAGGTCTGAATCCAGCTGACCCCACATAGCAGTCCTGGCTCCCAGCCCCCCTACTCTAACCACTAGACCCCGCTCCCCTCCCAGAGCCAGGGAGAGAACCCAGGAGTCCTGGCTCCCAGCCCCCCCGCTCTAACCACTAGACCCCACTCCCCTCAGAGCTGTGGGCTAACCCTCTTTCCATCTCAGAGGCTCGGGACCCTGCAGGGCCTTGCTGCTTGTGCTGGTTGCCTACAGAAAAGGCTGATGGAGGTAGGTGCTGTGGTGCAATCCTGCTCGCTTTAGCTGTTACCTGGCAGGGCTGGGGTCCTGCTTCTCCCAACACCCCCAAGCACCCAGCGCCGACTTCCACCCAGCTCCCACTGAGCGTGTCTGCAGGGGAGGCTAGGATGGGATAGTCAGGGGTGTCTACACAGGATACGCAGGCATGTTAATCCGAATTAAAGATGTGAATTTAAAGTAGGTTCATTAAACCAGTGTGGGATGTTTATTCTGAACTGAAGTGACCTTAATTTGGTTTAGTTTAATTCCCATTGGCAATGAATTAAGATAAACCAGTCTACTTTAGCACTGAGTCAGAGCGTCCACCTAGGGATCAAATGTAGAGTAACTTGAATTCAAATGGTCAGGGGGAGGAACTGTCCTGTCTGTGCCTTGGCAGATGATGTGTCTCTGGGGTTCACCGCTCCAGCTGCCGGGTACAAGCATGGGCTACGCAGAGCTGTTAGCTACGTGTGTCTCCTGCCCTGGTGGGGACGGGACAATGTCACAGGACTTAACTGCTTTGAATCCAGAAGCATAAGGCAGGCCTCAAAACCAGCCGGAGACAAAGCAGACTGCTCCCAACGGTGGTGACGGGTCCCCTCGCCCCACTGTCGGCTGGGCAGGCAGGCTGCAGTCCCTTAAACCAGAACAGCAAGTGCCATGCACAGGGGTGCTGGTTCCCCTTGATCCTGACCCTGCTATCTTGCCATGGGTCCCCCCACAGCTCTGGCGGTAACCCCACAACCCCCTGCTAGCCCAGCCCTGGGCTCCTCCCAGCTCTGCTGGTGCCCCTCACTCCCGACCTGCAGTCCCTGCGTTGGATAGCCCTTGGCCTCTGTGATTTAGCTTCCGCTCAGCAGTGCTGTGGGCCTGAGGTGTTGGTGGCAGCTGGTCTTTCAGCCTCCTGAGGCCAATATCCCAAATTCTCCTGCCCAGTCCCAGGCCCTGGCAACCCCACGTGCAAGATGCCCCAGCCACTGCCCTGCGAGCCCAGCAGAGGGCCCCCGAACTGCAGCCACTCAAATGCATCCCCAGTTGCTACCAGCCAGCAGGTGCCGTCAGGGCTGGGCCAGCAGGGGCTGCGGGTCAGGAGTGAGGGGCACCGGCAGGGCTGGGGGGAGTCCAGGGCTGGGCTAGCGGGGGGCTGCGGGTCAGGAGTGAGGGGCACCGGCAGGGCTGGGGGGAGTCCAGGGCCACTCACTCCCGACCCACAGCCCCCTGCTAGCCCAGCCCTGCTTCCCCGCCCCCCCCAGCTCTGCAGGGGCGGGGTGGGTGACTGAACCCACAGCGTCAGGGCGGGAGGGCAGGGACCCTGGGAACAGGAAAGGTCCTTTGTAAACAGGGCTGGAGCCGCAGGCTGAAAGGCCCATGGACCCCCCCCCCCAGTCCTGGGAGAGAGGCGGCCAAGGTGTTAACCCCTGCTCTGCCAGAGCCAGAGGCTCCCGGACTCCTGGGTTCTGCTGGATCGGGGCTGGGATCCACCCCCCGCCCCTTCCAAATCTCCTGTGTCCTTGGAGGGCAGTGTGTGGGGGGGAGGAGCAGAGGGGCTTTGCCCTGGTGGGGATTTGGGTTTGGAAGCTGCCCCCTGCCCATGGCTCTGCCCCATGAGGATGGGCT